TTTCTTGCAGTCAGTAATCTTCTGTATTGGGGGGTATTTGGATCTTCTGATGTCCTCACCTGGTGGCTCTGGTTCTGGTCCGGGTCCTATGTCTCCTCTACAGTGTCTCATCCTCTGGTCTCATGTCGCCGCTCTCTGTCCCTCTAGGTGTGCGCAATGTCACCGCTCTGGGTAATGTGATCACCTGGCAGAAGGTGGATTATGATTTCAGTTACCATGGCATGGAGTTCCCGTGTAATGTGAATGTTCTCGTCGCCTCGGAGGGCCGCTCGCTGCTTCCGGTAAGTCTCGCGTCTCCTTTTATCTCGCTCTTCAGCAGTGGCGTCCCAAGGGGGGTGCGGCCCGCACCTGGGTGACACCATTGGAGGGGTGACACCAATATTAGTCATTTTGGTGTCACCCCCTCTGAAAAGTCGGGCGCTCGGTCATGGACAGTATCAGGAGAGAGGAGGGGACCCGGCGGCATACCTTATCCCGCCGGGTGGCCGTCCCCTCCTCTCTCTGCCGGCGTCCATCACCAAGATGGCCGCCGGCAGGTATCTGAATACTGTCGTGCATGCGCGGTGACGTCTCGGCGGGGTGACACTCGGACACCGCTCCGGGTGTCACCCAGCCTCGGGACGCCCCTGCTCTTCAGCCATAGACGAGGTGACAATGGCGGCTCCCTCTGCTCCGGGCTCCTAGTGGGGTTCAGCGAACAGTCCTCATTGGGCAGCTGCTTCAGCCAATGGGGAAGAAGCTAGAGGAGGTGTGTCTGATGGGACATCTATTGATGGACTATGAGCCTTCTGCCCCGATACAGTTTCCACACTTCATCTACAATACGGACTTTCCACCGTGACACGTCGCGGGCCCCCGATTCTGACACCGAGGGGCCCCTGTACCATGAATATCGCTATCCACTCTCCATTATACCTCCCCAGTATTACCGCATTCTGCAGCCCACTCATAAAATGCACGCTACGGCATCCTGTGGAACTCTCTTAGCAGAGAGGACTCTGTGAATGGAGGAAAACAGGTCATGTGACTAGGCTTCCAGCTCATTATATTGCGTCCCGTCCCCTCTATACACCTCAAGCCGTGGTGCGCATTGCACGTCGCTGGGCTTTATGAATCTGCGGAGGATTTTCCCCCGACCCCCCCCCCCCC